TACCCTTATCATGAGAAAACCAAGTTTATGTTATAATTAGGCTCAAAATATGATAGATTTAACCGCTATGCAAATCGTAGACTCCTCAACAAAGCCCTGCTGGTTTAGTTGACCAGGATCGAAGAAGAAACATCTTATAGGCGCAACGAACCTACGGCGAGATAACCACAACCAAGAGAACAACTAAAACATGAAATGCGTAAAGCGCTATATTATATTATTGTAATTGGTATATCTACGCTTACTTTATCAGAAGTATGATTCTCAAATACTGTATAGCATTTAAAATATACAAATAAGCTCACTAATGTCATTGCTTTTATGCATAAAAGTTTAAATATCATAATAGAAAGCCCACAAATTTTGCTAAATAGTCCACGCACAGCTGGCGTTTGTCGAGAGCTCCTGTTAACACAGTGTCTTGTTAATAATTTGTATTATATATAGATATACGAAGAATCTTCTTCTATCTTATAATTTATGCATTGTTATAATAGGCCTGAGCATAACAAACTCACGTTCTCATTGGCTAAATCTTCTAGTGCATTGTCAACTGGCCTGTAGATCCAAATCATGGAATGTTAATTTTAAGATGTCATTCCGTTCCCTGCCGTCGTGCTAAACCAACTGAGACGAGGAAAGGCCAAGAAGAAAAAAGAAACAAAATCCAACGACAGAGGATTTGTATCCCTTGACGCTACCAGATAATGACGAGTACCGTAGCATGCAGTGTAACTTCAGAGTCAGTAATGGTAAATGAATCCACTTTGAGCATTTTGAGATTGGAGTTTTTCTTGTCGTTAATAAACCGCAATTCTTGGGGACACTCTGAATTTGAGTCTATGGTAATTCAATGTACTGTTTGTTGACTCAATAACTGAAATTCTTACACAGTTGACTTGTTTAAGCCGGCGTGTGTGGTAATCTTGTGTGTAGGTACTCTACTAATTTATAAATATATATAAACAGGGTTTGTTTTTAAAACATCAAGAATTTGAATCGATGATAACTCGCAAAGCGATGACAGTAGATTATCGTTCTGAAATAGTTTTGTTTCGGAGGGAGACAACTGGCGAGCTTCTTTTGCCTTGCAGGTCACTGCTTGACGATGTTTCACACAAAAAGAAGAAGAAGAAGGATAAAAAGAGTAAGCGAGACTGCGTGGACACCCTCGCCTCGCTATCGTGCGAACCGGCCGCCGACCTGTCGTCTCCGCCGCGCGAGGGTGAAGGTCACTGTCGTCGCGACTTGTCGGAGGTGTTCGCCACGGAGACGGCAGCGAACGCCGAACTTCCGCCCACTGACGCGTCGTCGTCGTCGCGAAAGAAAAAGAAACGCGGGGATAGGTCGCCCCCGCCAGATGGCGCCACCAAGAACATCTCCGCGAACAGCGCCCTGCAACCCCCATTGGTGACAAAATCGAGAGAGGGTCCAGTCGAAAACGGGGAACGAGCCACCGTGGAGTCGCGCGAGGAGAGGAAGAAGCGGAAGCGCCGCCAGAGGGCGCTGGTTGTGCCGAGCAGCGACCAGAGCGAGGCGGAGGTCAGCGAGGGAACGGACGACCTCATCCGCAAACTCGCGAGCGAAATCGCGTCGCGACACCGAGTGTCGTCCTCCGACAGCGAGTCGATCGACCTCTTGAGGCCGTGGTGCCCCCTGGCGGGCACAGACACTCCCACGCGCGTCCCGAACGGCGAACGGGTTTTGCCGGTGGTGCCACCTGGCGTCGAAACGCCGAAGATCGCGGCGTCGGTCAAAACGCCGAGCGGTTCGGACGACGAGACGCAAACTCCGCGCGCGAACGAACACCAGGTGGCGCCTCCGGAGGTTTCGCCGACTGACTCGCTGGTGCATGGCGACGAGCACCAGGTGGCGCTGCGATCGGTGGACGTTGTCGAGAAGGCTTTCGCCATCACGCCGAAGAAACTGAGGTTGATATCCCGTGAAACTGTGTTGCAGCAGCGGCTGAATTAGTTAATGATTATTACCTCCGCCAGGGGCTTGGCGGGGGTTATGTTTTCACCGGCGTGTGTTTGAGTGTTGGTTTGTGTGTTTGTGGGTTTGTTAACATGCACGTTTCAGTTCACTTCCGCTAGGTGCGCTGGCTGTAGACTTACAAACACGCAACCACAGGCTAAGGGGCAACCACAGTCCCCCCCCTCCTCCTGCACGCTCGCACTAATCCGGATCCAATTAATTATTACTACTCTTAACTCTTAACTCTTAACTCTTAACTCTTAACTCTTAACTCTTAACTCTTAAC